TGTACTTGGCCTCGTTTTGAAAGTGAGGGTTGGTTTTTGGAAGTTGTCAAAGGCCTGTTGACAGCCTGAGTATCGGGTGTTTCTGGACGAAAAAGGGGAAAAGAAAAGCGAAAATCTCCTGTCTCGTAGCCCCTTAGAAAAGCCTGATTCTCAGACTAGCCTATTGAAGGACTAGTGTATAAGTGTCATATTTCGCAACTATTATTTTAACTAATGGAACGGTAGCTTAACCCGTCCAGGGCCCCCGCAGGGGGAGGGGCTGGGGGAGCCAGGGCCCCTCACTTTTGGAAAAATAAATAAATAAAATGAAGTACAGTGGAACCTCGATATAACGAAGGGTCAAGGGTGTGGCAAAATATGTTCGTTAACTTATATCGAAAATTAAAAACTGCTCCGCGGGCCCTGCTGTCTAATCTTTGTTCAAATAACCAGCCCTAAAGTTTTAATGTCTATACTTTTAACTCGTACCCAGATCGCACTCTGTCTTTGCAAGGATCTGCCTTTCACAAAGATGGTCAGCAGGTGCGTGAACGCGTTCACTGATCAAGGAGCGCTTGTTACGTGTTATTCATGCCTGCGTACTACAAAAGTGCCTGTTGGAACGTCTAAGGAAGACTGAAACAACCACAAGGGAGTTTAAAGGAAGTTTTCAATTTGTTTCAATGAGCCTTTTTCCATATATATAATAGTCAAATTTACCTAATTCACCACGAAACAAGTCGGTAATTCCCGTGTTTAATGTTAAAGAAGGCTTTACTCCATCCATGTGTGTCCATGTGATCTGTTCCACGTTACATATTGTCTGTTAACTGTGCCTGTTAATGCAACCCGTTAGGCTGTCGGAGATAATAAGCGAATTCATGCACGAATTGTTGCTCTAGGATCCACTGCCGTGACATGTGTCATTTGAAAGTTATTATTGGAGCCTTTTTAGAGGGCTACCCATATCCCTATTGACCCTTTGTCTCACGTATTACGGAGAAAGCCATGACTCTGTCGGTATTTTACCATTATAATGCTTGGACAGTACGAGTCGATCCCATAAGTAAATAGTAAGTAAGTAAATTTATTAAATCTCCATCCAGTGGCTCTTCCGATTTAATTTACAATAATTAGAAATCGAATAAAAACTACTTATAAAAATTACAATAATATCATGATAAAAAAAAAACTAATTCAAATAAATAAATTAACCTATTCTAAAAAATCTAATCCTAAAAATTACTACGAACTATTATATATTTCGCGCTTTACTGCGCGCTTGAAAACTGAGAGTGTTGCGCTATTTTTCGTTTCTTCACTTATAAGAGAATTCCAAGCAGTGATTGCTCTGTAACTAAAGGACCTCTGTTCTGTGGCTGTCCTACAAAGGGGTACGACTAAATTGTCCCTAGATCTAGTATTGTAGCTGTGGATAGCTGATCTTTTGTTGACGTAACACTCTAAATATGGTGGTGCAAGGCCATTAACTATTTTGTATAGCATCGTAGCATCACGCACTAGTAACTGATTCTTAACAGAAGGCCAACACAGTGCACGCAGCACTGGTGAGATGTGATCAAACTTCTTGGTGTTAGTCAACACACGGGCGGCGAAGTTTTGTACGAGTTGCAGTTTGTTTATGTTGTGCACAAACGTTCCAGACCAGACTGTCCAGCAATAAAAAAGTTTACAAAAAACAAGACAGTTCAGAATGGTGGTAAGTACTGATTTAGAAAACAGGTGCCTAACTCTGTTTATCTGGCATAAGATAGAAATAAGAGACGAGGTCAGAGTGTTAACGTGTTCATTAAAAGTAAGGTTCGAGTCCAAAATTATACCCAGGTCTTTAACTGAGGACACAGGAATTAAATGTTGCCCAAGAAAAGGGACTCTAATGTCAGGTACCTTACTTAAAAGCTGTTTCGTTCCAAAGAGAATAAGTTTAGTTTTGTCTGGATTAATAAGCAACTTATTCGTACAGCACCAAGAGGCAATAAGTCGGAGATCTTCCGAGACTTTTGCAAGGCAGGAGTCAATGTTTTCCGATGAACACGAAAGATAAACTTTTGTGTCGTCAACATATGACTCTACACTTGAAAACTTAACAACGGACGGTAGGTCGTTCATGTAAAGACTGAACATAAGAGGCCCTAGGATAGACCCCTGTGGTACGCCATGTGTGACGGTTAACTCAATGGAGCGAGATGTACCAAGTCGTGTCGACTGTATTCGGTTTCTAAGATAACTCTCAAACCAACGTAATGCTTGATTTGACGCACCAAGCCCTTTCAGCTTGGTGAGAAGAGTTCTATGACATATGCTGTCAAAAGCCTTACTCAAGTCGATTAGGACCATAGCCGTGATCTCCTTTTTATCCATCGCCTTATAAATGTGACCAGTGACAAGCAAACTTAGTGTTTCAGTAGAGTGGAATTTACGATTTCCACTTTGATGACAGGTGAGGTTGCCTTGTTGAGTCAAATACTCAGTAAACTGATTTAGAGCGATCTTTTCGGCCACTTTAGAACGTACCGGCAGTAGTGAAATAGGGCGATTGTTGCTGGGAATTTAGTGATCACCATCTTTAAGGAGTGGCACTACTTCCGACCTCTTCCAGGCCTTAGGGAAAACCGAGTTGCTAAAAGAAGAGTTTATCAATACAGTTAGAGCTGGTAATATATGCGATAAACAATCCTTGATCACAAACACTGGGATTCTGTCATAGCCTGGAGCTTTACTAGAAGGCATGGCCATAATCACTTTTTTTTCTTTCACTTTTTTCCCATCGCACCTAAATGTCAGTAGTCCGAGCCAATTCTCCTCCGATCGAGACTTTGTGAATATCAGTGACATCGCGGACATAGCGTTTTTGTTTCTTGGAATTCAGGGAAAGTCAGGGATTTTTTTCAATTTCGGTTTCATCACACTAGTTAAGAGGCACGGAAGTCTAGTTGAGGTTTGACGTTTGGTTTATACTGCTTTCAGTCGTCATTTCACCAGAAACATAACGAGTACATAAATTAAGAGAGCAAGAAATGAGGAAAAGTCAGTAACGCACTGAACCAGCCTCCTCCTCAGTTGCTTCGTTTTTCGCAAGGTAGAGGCGAGCGACTGGTGATGAACCGCAAGGGACCATGGGAAGGGTACAGACGGCAGGCGAGAGAGAGACATCTGGGTATGAGGCAGGCACTGAACGCTACAGACCGTGAGGAAGGTATTTTCATTCAGCTAGCTTTTGGTTGCTTTTGTCTATGGCTTGCGTTACTTGTTCAGGGACGAGCTCTCGATTATTTTTCATTTGATGTGACCAAATAGATTCATTGCTGGCGTATTAAAACAGTTAAGAAGTCATTACACAGCGAGACGATTTAACTCTTGTTTTCACGCTTCACAGGACACCAGTCCTAGAGGTACGACAGGCTTTGATTCAGGAGTTAAGCATTTGAACACCAAAGAGAATTTCATTTTGGTTATATGATCCCCGTTTGGGTAGAACTAGTCGATCCGATCATAGCTAAGTGTCGGTAGTCCAAGCGAATTCTGCTCCAATGAGATTTTTGTGAATAACGTCCAGCTATCAGTGACATCGGTATGGACAAAGAGGTTTTGTTTGTCGCAATTTCAGAGAAAGTCCCGGACAGATTTGGATAATATGTCACAAACAAAATTCATTTCAGGTTTTTTTAATAAAATGTATGTATGCGATTATGGTAGTTCTTTTTACTTTCTAAAAGTGCGAAACAGTTTAAATTTTCGTTCGTTTTGCATCCTGTAATATTGGCAAAATGACTCTTTTCCAAAGAAAGATTTTGCTAAGATTGTTTTGACTAGTTTGAGACAAATAATGTAAATTTGCCTTATTTAAACTTGCTAATTTGGTTTTCAGTGAAGTGGATACAAACTTCACATCATCATTTTATAAAATTAACTAGCCGTGTAAAATAATCATACTGCTAAGCTGCATGTTGACATTTTCTCATTCATATCTGTCAGTGCATCATGCAGTTTTTTAAAATATCTTAATTGGTACCGTTCAGGACTCGTTTTGGACTATTCGTTATCGGTTCCTTATCTCGACACCAAAAATGTACACATTAAGGTATTTATATTAGACATGCATTTTAATTTGGACTGAATCGGTTCTGACTATTCGGCATCCAGTTCTGAATTTGTTATAGCTTTTGTTTCTTGGAATGCAGGGAAAGTCCCAAATTTTTCACATCTAATTGAAGGCACGAAAGGGCGGCTGACTTCGAGGTGAGTGGCTTGGTTTATAAAAAATAAGCTCATCTTAGCTTACCTTTTTCTTTTCCATATATCTTACTTGAGATTTTAATTTTCGCACTAAGTTTCCTGAATTGCAATTGTGTATAACAGACTCACAAAGCTCGACCTCGATTGGTAGGGATCGTTTGTCGAGTGATTTCAAAAGTTCGAAGCAACTCTTTGAAGAGCTCATACAATCAAATCGTTTCGCCTTTGCGAAATGGATTCCTTTAAATAGAATAGCTTATAAATATTCCCAGTTGACATAGACAGGAAAAAACCCTACGTCTATTTCATGCATGTTAATATGTTAATTGAACTGCGCATTCCTTTCTTGGTATCGTTATCGTACGAGGCTTTGATTTCTGATCGTAAAATGCACAGAGTCCTAAAGCTTTATTGTACTTCACTGTACTCTTAGAGATAGATTTCCTGGTAAGCTCTTGGTAGTGTAGCATACATATATGTTACAAACATAAATCATTTCCGTTTTTTTTCTAATGTTTGTATTGGAGCATGTTAGTCCTTTTTCCTTTGGAACGCAAAACAGTTCCAAATGTCGCGGTTCGTTTTGCAGGGTTAATATTGGTGGAATTGGTTTGGCACCGCTACATTCGACTGCTGGGTTCGTTAACCTTGCCCAGCGAAACAGCCGTTGAGGACTTCATAGCAAGGCAGGCGCCACAAACTTCCTCGGCGGAAAGTGAATAGTATGAGTTCCCCTTACTACCAAGAAAAATTCCCAATATTCG